TTGGTAACCGCTACACCAATTTCTTCCAAACTTGGCACAGTTGTTGGTCCTGGTACAGCATACCAACTGGCCGAAAATTTCTAAAATCGGACAATAACCACGCCCACATCCCATATAACGGTAATTTCGAGAAATACAAAATCTTCGATAAATCAGTAAATATTGAAGCTAATTTATTCAAAATTGATGATTGCAACAATTCTTTACCAAGAAATACGTTTATGATAAAATTTTGGAAAATGGGCGTGGCCCCGCCCACTTATGATCACATATATGTATCTCGCTAACCGTTCTAGCAATTTGTACCAAGCTCGGTCTGGTTATTGTGCTTGCCACATAAAAGCAAACCGGCGAAAATTGTTGAAATCGGACTAAAATTGAGGCCGCTTTTCATATAACGGTAAATTTCAGATATGCTTGAAATTTCAATATTTCGAAATTTAAGGACGCTAATTTACTTAAAATGTATACACCCCGGCTTATCATGTAGTGGTAGCTTTCGGAAAGGTGGAAAACATATATTTAATACTTGCGCCGGGTATTTAATGTTCGGCTCCGCCCGAACTTAGACTTTCTTACTTGTTTCTTTTTACCTTTGACTCTTACAATATTTATTCATTGATTTACAAGCCATTTTCAAATACAAGTATGCGGTTTTATCTGCCCATATTGCTTGTATGCTAGCACATTCATATCCTTTCATTCATGCATTCAAGCGGAAATTGTTTTCACTTGTCATTCTAATCGCATTTACTTGACCCCGTTTTCACCAGCAATACGAACCTGCCGTATGTTTCATGCTGCTTTCCTACACTCAGCCTTTCAATATATTGTCATACAACTCATTCAATGTACTATTGTTCTTAAACGATAGGATCTATGCCCAATAGTATGTATCCATTTGTGTTGGAGTGATTTTTATTGCTTGGTTTTTTAATAAGCTTTGCAAGTGATTTTTTATCCTGTATTGTCGTCCTTATTTTTCCATGTGTGTTTTGTTCTTTGTACATGGAATTTTTATTGTTTCCTGCTTTATCTCATTTTAATTTTACTGCTTTTGCTTGGATTGAAATTTTCATTTAGAAACAAGTATATTTATGCGCAATGGCCCTTTGTTCTGTCAAAGCAGGCTTTCTGACATACTACATGGGCCTATCAATAGGGCCCTTAGGAAATAGGTAAAAAAGGCAGGAGTGAGAAAATGTGATTTTATGGCATTGTACGCTGATGTAATCCGCAGGAAGCACTGCTGCGTATGTCACTTCTGGTCTGTGCTGGCTACTTAGGTATTTATATACATATCTGTATTTATTTATGGCACAATGTATGCATCAATGAATTTTTTATGTAAGCAATTTTTATTGAAGGTCAATTGGCTCTGCGAAAATGTGTGTCCTTTTATTGTTAATAGTATTTCTTTTGATGAGATCTTATGGTCATTCGTTAAGGATGTTACACTGTAGACGATATTAATCGCGCACCTTTACCATTGGTTTCATAATTTTGCCGAATGATGTACAATTTTTATGTTTTGATTGGAATTTTAATGTGCAATAAAAGACATTCCAGTCGTGTGATTTAAGATTTTATGCGCATGTACAATATCTGTTTTATCTTTAGGATCACACTCTCAAAATGTAAATGTTTGCCACAAATATTTATTTATTTATTTTTAAGAATTTTCTATGAAAATAAAGTTCATTCTCTAAAAAATTGTAGTTTAAAAATTTTTAGAAAACAAAAAACTTTAATAAAATTTTATAAAAATTTCGAACTTTTTCTCAGAAGTGTTAGAAGTTTCTGGGAATATACTTTTATAGCCCATTAAATTTTAGTGTCTAAAAATTACCGTTGATTTTTAGAATTTGTTTTCCTGAAGGTGTTGCGGTTTTCTTCTACGCATGTGTATGAGCAAATCTTACGAGCTGTTCTTTTTCAGTGTTACTCCCTTCTCTCACCAGAAAAAAACGCTAGTATGTAAAATAAAAAATAAATCAAGTATTTGAACAAGTTTAGCCCCAAGACGTCTATTTAGGCGATAATATACCGACATTACTATTTTTTCATTGTTCCTCGAAAAAAACAATCTGTTGTTTTTTAAATAACTTTGAGAAGTTTTCAAATAAAATGTTGATGCTAGAGGCAATGAAGTTTGGCATCATATACAACATACCAGTGGTGTTTCAAGAGTGTGCCACCAAATAAAAAAAAATGGCAGCATGCAGAAAACCTTTCGCAGCTATTTTGTAATTTTTGATATTCACCGATTTATTTTTCTTTTTTTTTTCATTTCAAAAGTTCAAGTTACTTCAAGATTTTAACATTATACTGAGAAAATGTTCTTGCCAAAGCGAACCAATTTAGAAAGAATTAATGAAACTAAGGTGCCACCAAATGAAAAAATTACATTCATTATAAGTTAACGATGATTTGAGAAACAAAAATTTCAAATTACAATTTTTATTGGCATGAAGAAACTAATACATATATTTGTCACGAGTACTGTATAAAAATATTCCACACCAATATTTAATTATTTTTACATAATTTGACTTTTAAGCAAAGTCTTGTGAGTATGTGTAACGACTCGTGAGATTTGCTTGTATGTATGAAAATAAATTGTGTTTATTTGTTTATGGAAGCAAGTGCGACAAAAAAAAATTAAAAACCAACGGAGCATATAACTGTTTACTCAAAAAATTCTAACACTTCTGAGGAAAAAGTTAGAAATTTGGAAGGAAATATATTGAACTCTTTTTTTAGTTTTACGCAAAGTTTTAAACTTGCGTCTATTTGGGTTTTGTTATAGAATGAACAGTATTGTGATTGCAAATTCTTAAAAATTTGTTTTTTTTTTGCTAATTATAAGCCTATTTAATAACAAATTAATATTATTTTTTTGAATTAAAAACGGCCTCAAGATCAATAAAATTAAAAATAATTGAATAAAAACATAAATAGACAAGTCGAATCTTGGTGCAATTCATACTTATGCAAAAAGTCTCTTTAAAGAGACGATCTGCTTCTTCTAACAGTATTGCCATTTACCTTTTTATTGAAAAAAGAATTTAGTGGTTCCATTTCCCTCAAAATAAGGTGTAGTAACTGTAAGAAAGTCATGTATTAAGAGATATATATGTGGTTGACCCAACTAAACCATTTTCCCAGTGTAGCAGAGGCGCACTCCAAAGTGATGCCCCTCTGGACAGCGGGATGCTAATCGTGAAATCGCAGACGGATGGTTTTCTACAAAAGGACTTCATTGTGGGTGCAACTATTGGCATTGAGGGGTTTCTAATAATATTCTTCCGGAGTCAATTGTCAGAACCTTTGTAAACTTTAGATCTTAGGCAGACGAGCCTTCTTACAATCCAGAGAATGCTGGAAGGTAGCTAGGGCATATGTATGCAACTACAAAGATATTTCTGGTTAAAATGGACCGCAGGCATTTAATTGAACCTCTTGGATTCACAAAGCTGCAACTCCCAATTCTACGTACTTTTAAACGTGTGATTAAATCAAATAAGTAAAAAAAAAAAAACAGTAATAAATATTACTCACCTTTTTATTACATTCGCATTTCAATATCCATTCAACGGCAATGAATTTGTTTTCAATTTGTATTTGATGTGATTGCAGGAATTCCTGATCGATTGGCTCCAGCGACACAGTATCCCATAGCTGTAGTGGCGACTGTCCGTCCGGCTTTTGCTGCTGTTCGGCAAAGCTGATGGGATCATTGGCATTCAAAGGGCATAACAACTCCACCTGCAAGAAAGAGGAAAATCAGAAGAGAATTAAAATTTTCTAAATACAAAAGCTTGATGACAACTCGAGGGGCTAAGGACTTCGCAAGAGCAAACCGGTCTTAAGCCTCTCACTAATTCTGACCCCACGATTGTAGCGTGCAATCTCATTGATTGCATAGGGAGTATCAGGGCGACTTCGTGAAGGAGTTTCAATGAAGGACATTTGGATTTCGACTTCGAAAAGTTTGGATGGGTTCATGAGCGCCATAGAGCGGTGGATGGAGTCCCAGTAACGAGACAGAAGAGGAAAAAAATGGACGGACTCTGGAATCGATCATTTGCTGTGATGACAAAATATGGGGAGACTTCAAAGCCGAAATCAATTGTAGTGGGCCTAACTCGTATTAACAACAGTAGTGCTACAAGTGAAGCAGTACAACCCTAATCAGGTGCCATCACGTACAAACATTGCAAATCTATGAAGCTGTCAATAAAATAGGCTTCGCCACAGTGTGCCTTAACATGACTTGTACAGGATCAAGATCTTTACTCAACCTATCGGCCTTTTTGGAATTGAGAGGAGTACATAATGTCACACGATAAGTTAATGTCAGTACGACTACAATACTACGCCTATCGAAATTCGAAAATATTGCTGATCTTATTTTCTGGAATACCCTAATGTGTATATTTATATATCAATTATTTTTCACTCACCTGTATGGTTGTAGAGACCGAGGGTACACAACATTTTCCCGAATGCTGATGACAAAGTCCACATAATTTCGGTCGATATAGCTTTCGTGAAATGCAGGCGCCCAGTCGTATGCGTGCAGGCCCAAGGCGCTGCAAATTGCGGCATTCGTGTCCTTTCTGCAAAGAATATACGATTTATTGATTAAAAATTTTTTCGAATTGAAATCGAAAATATAGGTATACTGTATTTATACATATACATATTTCTTTAACAAAAAAATAACATCGAAAAAAATCACAAAATTATACTTCAATGCTTAAGCCACTTAGATTCGTTTTATTTAATTTAAAAGAAAATATGCAGACATTTCTGTATTGCTAATTTAAAGCTTCCGTTTTGTATTTATTTTTGTTAGTTGTGTAAAGATTGAATTGCCTTCTTAAAGAATGCCGACGACTCATCCTTAACAATTTAATGTATTCAAGCTGCAAACAAACATCGAAGATTTCTCTATGCAGACAAGACGACAACAGACAAGATTTGACAGCTTAAACCGCTTTGTTTTACGTAGAATGATCAACTTAAAATTCTGCAGGAGGAAACGTAAAACTTTTAGCCGAAAGTTACAACAACACACCTACCAGTATATTAGGGTGGCCCTTAGAAATATCAACCCCTAAACTTTGTGCGTAAATTTTGTTTATATTTTGTTCTACGTACAAAATGAAGACATCTTCGAAAATTTCGAAATTTTTGAATACATTTTAGAGCTCGCTACCAGAGTTCGAAAAATTGATTTTTTTTTATCGCAAAAATTCGACAAAATTTCAATTTTTACCAACTTTGGTCCGATAAAAACAAGTGACGTGAAAAAGTGCATTTTGAGCTCAGGAAGTCCATACTTAATAATCCATATACACGAGTTTTTTGGTATTTTTTTTTCAACATAATTATTTGCAAACCAGTGTGAACTTAGAACAAATTTCTTAAAAACGGCTCTCTCATTCACCACTCCAGGTGAAAAGCTACTTTGAGAGAAAGCACTTGAATTTTATCTCGCTTGCATCGCTTCAACAGTTTTTTTTAAATTAAATTTTCTTTTAATTGTTAAATTAATATTAATTAAGAAAAATTTGTATTTCTTAAATTAAATTAAATTTTTAGAAAATTATTTTATTTATTTACCGTTTCAAACGTTATTTACCGTTTCAAAGGGAAAAATAAATATTTCTTAATTTCGATAATTTTTTATTTTATTTTTTAATTATCTAAATATTTTTTTTTTAATTTTATTTTCCTTTCTGGGTATAGATTTTAAAAGAAAAACCATATTTTTTTACTTTAGTTAATTTTAGGATTTTATTTTATATTACTTCTTTTAATTTTTTGTCTTTTTTAATTTAATTTTCCTTTATTTTTTTAGATTTTGTTTAAAAAAATAAATTTTTTTATTTTATTTAATTTTTAGTACACATCAAATTCTTTTTTATTTAATTTTTTTCATAATTTAATTTTGCTTTAATTTTTAGATTTTATTTTTTTGAAAGAAAAATTCCTATGTAGATATATTTTTAATTTCGTTTAATATTTATTAAAAATACTTTTATTTATTTTTGCTTTATTTTCGTTTTACTTTTTATTTAATTATCTTTAATTTATTGGTTTTGATTGTGCTTTTATTAATTAATTTAATTTTTAAGAAACTTATTTTTAACAATTTTATTGAGCTTGAGTCTGTTTTTAAATGAAAATTAATTTTCTTACGAAAAAATTTTGTATTTCGAAAGACTGTGGTGAGTTGACGGGCCGTTGCCCGAATTTTCCTGTTGAATTTTTTCAAACCCTGGCAGCAGGCCCTAAAATATATTTAAAAATTTAGAAATTTTTGCGAATGTCTTTATTTTGTACATAGAATACAATAAATGGGGCGCTATTAAAAATTTAGATGTTGATATTTTAAGGACCACCCTACAGTGTGTACATAAATAAATATGTATGTATGTATATGAAGCAGCGAAAAATAAATAAATTTGTATGCGATAGTAAAGTAAAGAGATTTTGTGATTTTTAAGCTGTTGTAGAAAAATAAAACTGAAGTGAACGGATGCGTAAATATTTTTTTTAGCTCTCTGTCCTAAGTTGAGAAATGCAATTGTCTGCTGGGGCTCTTAGCTTGCGGTTTTGCTTGTTATTTTTGGTTGTTTTGCTTACTTAGATTAGCAATTTTTTAAATAAAAAAATTTCTGCGTAACAAAGCATAAGTGCAACAAAAAACAATGTAGTTGGGTTAAAGTTTCCAAACCAACAATGGGGAAATTAAATCGAAAATAAAATCGAGTTGTGAACATTAACTAAACTATGAATTTGTGAGCAGCAACTAAATTACGCTGAATAATATTAAAGCATATAAAATTTCGAAACTAATTTTTTTTTTTGGCATAGCAAAATTTTGATTTAAGAAATATCCATCGCCAACTTACGCGTATTCGGTGCTCCTCGTGCTCGAACAATGCATTGTAATTTGTTGAATCCTTAATATCCTTAGGCTCACTTACAACTAAATTGCTCGCCGCCGCTGCCGCCGCATTATGGCTAATTAATTGTTGTTTTTGGTGCTGTTGTTGCCGGTGTCGCTGTTCGTGCGCCTGCTTTTGTTGAATTGCTGTGGCTTTCTGCGCCAGCTGTGACTCTTCCAGTGGTATTGCATAGTTTTTGTTTATTTTACTATTATTGTTGTTATTGTCTTGATCACATTTGCGGTTTTCACATAGTCGCAAGTTGCTCAATTGCCGGCAGCCTGCATTCGTGCTGGTGAAGCGCGTCGAAATGCCAAGGCCACAGGGTTGTGAGCAAGGCGTCCATGGACTTGTAGAGGCATTGTGGCAGGTGGCGTATACTGCAGCATGGAAGAGAGAAAGGGACAGTTAGTGGGTAAGAATGTTAATTAAGAGAGTGAAGAGAATATGTATATTAGGGTGCCTCACCAAAAAAAGTAGCGGGTTTTTTTCACCGGAATTATAAAACTTGTTACATTCTCAGACTTTCGCCAAAATATTTCGGAAAAATATTGAGATTTAGGTGAACTAGACCGATTTCAATATAGCGCCAAAAATCTAACTATTTTGATTCCAGTCAAAAAAAAAAAATTAAAATTTTTATGCAGAGCTTTTAAGCTAAAAATCTTTTATATTATCTGAGGTGATTTGCTGAAAAAATATTTTTAGAAACTAATTTTTACTCGATTTCACAAAAAGGTTATCGATTCGTTGGAATATTTTTATTATACCGATTTCTACAATTCTTTTTTTTATCGAGAGGTGGTCCCATACTAATTTGGTTTAAATCCAATCATTGGATCATGAAGAAATTAACGATAAACTAAAATTTTTATATGAGGATTGAAGTTGGGTTATTTTTGTATAAAAAAAGGTTTATTCTTTGACAAAAACCATACAAATCAAACACAATAAACTCATGTTTTCTTTTTTTAATATAATCTACGACTCCTTTCGGATCCTTATTTCGGAACGCTCTATATTTGGCTAGCCGGATTTTGTTCACGCCAGAATTTCTGCCACCAAAAGAGTCCGAAATGGGTCCGTCTGCTTGACTGGTCTCAGAATCATATTTATGACGAAAGAAACACTAATTTTAGACTCATAAATTCTGAGCAGTCAAACCATTTTTTAAAGGGCTTTTACGTTTTTTTTCCATTATTGCCAAAGTGGACATTTTTCTTATCTAACTTCACTCTTATTTATTATATTCCTCTTATAAATCTCAATATCCAGGTTCGCATATATCTTATGCCAAAATAAATTCTTATCAAATCCATAAATTTTTGTACTTGTTGGTCAACGAGAGAATGAAAGGTTCTCAAGCGCTAAAAAAAAGAAACACCAAAAAAAATATATAAATCCTGGCCATACAACTTCCTTCCAGTCGTCCTTCATTAATCTCTTAAAGAATTTTCTTTTATTTTTATCACAATGCAATGTTTCATTTCCTTATCCTTGCATGAGTAATTACGCCTCCTTTATCATTGCCTTCAGCATTACACTCGTACGCGCTCGCTTTGTCTTGCTGCCGAAAATTGCTCGCCTGTGCCTTGTGCTCATAAATATTTCTTGTTAATTCGCCTTAAAAATCATTAAGTTTTGCCATAGCTGCTATTGGCGGTCAACATGCCGCCCAGCTATCTACATGGATGACTGTGTTGCCCAGCCGTGTTGGCCTCAGGCGGATGCTGTCTCAACGAAGTGGTAGACAACGCGATGCTATGGTATGGTAGTTATTGTTTTTGTAACGCCCACAATGGCCACTGTGTTTGCGTTTACTTATCCAATACATTACTATGGTACATACATAAATACACACACACACACACATATGTATGTAAAGGAATATTGCGCTACAGGAGGCAGACTTAAGTATAGTTTTTTGTTTTTGTTTTCGCATATTTGTGTTGCTGAAGAGCTGGTGAGGAAACACAAGGCCACGTGCTTCCTTGCTTATTTGTGTAAAATTCTTTCAATGTGTGCTATATGTGAATGGTACACTGAGCGAAAATTTTAAATTTTTTGCCGCATATGATTACTCAATAAGTTTAAGGTTCAGAACAGCGCCTAAATGTTTACTAAAATCCCAATTTATTTCCAAAAATCCCATTCTTGTAGTTTTATCACCCAATTTTTTTCACTGTGTATTTTACTTATTCTACCGTAAAATGCGTTCATTCCTCGAACACTTACCATCAGCTGTGGGATTCTCACACAGCCACATTTTACAGCAATGGCCCGGCACCTCCACCAGACGTGGCGATCTGCATGAAAGCGTATCCTCCGGCGCCGGCAGTTGCTCCTTCGGACACAGCGATGAACAGGCATGACGTCCATTCTGCAGCGAGGGAAAATAACGGAAGCTCTTAAAGTCAACTATGTTTTTTATATGTAAATATGGGTATACATACATATATCTGCACAAATGTATGATGTGAAACAAAGAAACGTTAATAAAGGAAGGAACACAATAATTATCTTAAGAAAATGGAAAAATGTTGAAAGTGCGTAAAAAATCAAGGTTAAGGCAATGAATGTAGAAATGGAAAAAGAAACAACGCATAACCACCCTTATATACGAAAGCAGATATGCATTTGTAGGTATTATTTATATGGCGGATAAAAAAGGAAACAAGGAATACATTAAAGAAGAAGCTTTGTTCTAGTAGTAAGAATTGCCGAAAAAATGCCTGCATTGCCTGCGGGAAGCAAACGAAAATTAATAAAAAGGTTGTCAGACTGGGCGGCCCAGTCGCAAATTAACAGATAATGCAAAGAACGTAAGTAATAAGAAATAAAATGTATAGCACCGCAGCACAAAAGAGAAGCAATAGTGTTCAAAATGTAAAGGGTAGTTGTGCAATCATTGTGCCCCGAAGATTGAAAAGGCATTACCATATATGAGTGAGATACTTATGGCTGATTGTGATATTGTGGTACTATATCCCCATTTGTTAATGCATCTTTAATGTGGCGAAAAATTGAAGTGCTTTTTTGGCTTCAGATCTTTACTGTATCCAAAATAACATACCTTCAAATAAGTGTTGACAGACAAAAAAATAACAGCTTCACTACCTCAAAAGATCGGCCCGAATCACAGCATTCGATATCGGACGTAAGTTAGGCGAGGTTGGAATGGCTAGAGAGACTTATTCCGAGTAACAATTCGATCACAAATAAAACGATTCAGGCCCTGATAAATTATATTGAGGTTGAGAGAAGAAACAGGTCAAGATTTAAATTTTGATTGGTTTTAAGATTAAGACGCCTTGTCAAAATTGGAAACAAAGGTTTCACACATCGGTTAAGGAGGACGGATGGTGCAAGAGAATGAAACCTAGCTGTAGATATATAAATATTTTTCACGGCTGGATCTAAAATGATAACGCAACAGGGTGCTGGCATATACTGCCAGAAATTGGACGCCAGGCGGGCAATAAAGTTAACTTACTCGTGCAGCATATTTAAAGCGGAAGTTTTCCCTAAGAGGATAGCAGCAAAGCTAGCCTACACCGAAACAACAATCAACTTAAAGGTAAACATACACGAAGAAAATCAGGTGACAATTAAGGTAGTTACCTCTTTTAGTATTTCATCTAAAAACGTCTTTCGCAGCCAGGGATCCATTGATAGGCTGGTCGCAAACAGAAGACTACATATATCTATTGGATATTCGAGCACGAAGAAATAGACTGCAATGCTCATCACTTGTCTGACTCTCAAATGGACAAACAACACACATACGTAGGCCACTCTAACACTTGTACAACGAAATTAACGGCAGTGTAATCACGGGCAGTTCAGGGCTAGCTGGAATAAGTTAACCTCCTGCAAAACTGTTTATACTCGCTTTATTGTTATCCGATTGCTTATGCAGAATATTCTGGTGGCTGCTCATGCACAAAAAATGGGTAACGCTAACATAGACAGGTACAGAAAGTGGCATAGGCGGGACATCAAAAAAACTCGACAGCACCTTTTATGTATGTCCGACGCTGTAAAAAACACGACTAAGATGCTTCGGAAGTTAGAAGACATCTCAAAAGTATAGCTAAAATTAAGACTGAAATTCCCAAAACGCGTTGACTTCCTTTTTGATGTCTTTTTTAACGCCTAAAATCGAACTCCAGCTCGTAATGCTAAGGACTTATCTGTCTATGTATGGCTCAACGCTGGCCAGATCTACTTAACCTATCCCAACCACACAAGCTGCGATGGTCATAATTTTTGCGAAAGCGACAGCTATTTCGTTAGAACTTACCACAAGGTAGCCCCGGTATGCGTTAGTACATATTTTTTTTTGAAGCATGTATTTGCAGTTGTCTATAAGCCTTGGTACCATTTTACTTTAGCTTAGGACCTCTAATACAACCTAAAATATTTGTATTCTATGGTCCCACTAGTCCTTCTACCAGCGAAAACACATACACTTTTTGAAACCTAGGTTCACAAAAGCCTTCAGAGCGCACCCATCTTCAACTCGGTATTTATGTATAGATTAATCTTCGCTGATACTGTTGATTATCAGTCTATTAATTGTCTTTTTCAGGAATAAAATCTTTTTAAACTCAATAGATCAAAAGGCAAACAGTATTTGTTTGAGAGTTTGCCGACGGAATCATTAACTAGAAGGAATTATTTCAAACTCTCTAATTGATACTTTAAGTTTTCGTTCTTCATGCCTGGTTCTCAACAATAATGGCTGATGATCGAACGTCTTTGGTGATTTCAAGGGCTTCTGTTGATTTTTTTTTTTATTTTTTTATTGAAGTCTTCAGTCATTTTATTGAATGACCAGTAAATCAATTTCACAGATATTCCTCATGCTTCGCCATGAATCCTTTAATAGGCAATATTTATATTTGCGGCCTTGTTTGAATTGAGATTTTTATGTAGAGTCACTGCCAGCCACTTTTTCTCTTGCGCGGACTCAACTAGTTAGGGGAAAATAGCATTTATCTATCCAGAACAGAGAGTTTGCGTTTGAGTAAATGACATGAGGAGTTCTGTTTGTCGTCCCAAGCAGTTGAATGTTATATAATTTTCGTGTAGCCTGCAGTTAGCGAGTGGCATGCTTGAATATTTCTAAAAAGATGAAAGCGAAAAGGAAGTGGGTCTTGACTGCCCACCTGTCATATCGTGGCTGGTATGTAGCAACACACCAGTACCAGTCACCTTCTGCTCAGCTACCACGTTAAGCCCATATGCCTACTTTCATATGAGGATGCTTTCGAAAGGAGATCGAACTGGAATTAAAAGGCTACTAAAAATTTAGTCGCACATGTCTTTCATTTCGTTGATATTGTTGTGGGTATTAAAGAGTTAATTGGAAATATGTGCTCTGGCCAACAATAATTTGCACACTGATGACATTCTGAAAATGGCTGTAAGATTAGACTTTAGGGAAAATGTAGTGCAAGCATTCCGATATTGAAGTGAGAATACGTTGGAGATGAGCTAAATGACAAGTTGTCAAATGTACATATGTATGCAGGCACAATTGTGCATGCTTAAGTTAATAACAGAAAGGAGACAAAACCGCATATACACATGCTACCCTTTCATATATTCAAATAAGCAAGTGCACAAGTGCCTACATATAGATACTGCCACTGCTTGCCACACGTGTTGCAATATACTACTTACTTGCATGTCGGCTTGACAATATGTGAACGTGTTTGCTGCTGAAATTGCTTAAACACATTGGCATTTTTTCATTACGTTGATAGAATTTTACCTATTCTCGTTTCAATACAATTTTTATTTTCACCTACATAAATGTGTAGCACCTGCATTTTTTATTCATACCCAGTGTCGCATTTACTTGCATCCTCACTTTGTTGAAGAAATCCTATTGCCACATAAATTCAATTTACTCTAATACGCTTTGGCATTTTCTGCAGCATTGAAAATGAGAAATAAAGCAATGTTTGCATTTAACTAGTAGCCCTGTAGAGAAGGGTGTCATCGATGCTGATACTTTGAGGAATTGGTGGCTTTGGTAAATATTTAAAAATTCTTTTTATTGTGATTACAAACAGCTCTTTTTTAATTGAATGGGCTCTTCAGCTGGCGGCTGCCTTTGCCCAACATTATTTCTGGACTTATTGGGAAGGGTGCTTTTGCTACATTAAAGCTTCTTATCTTTCTGTCGCGTGATGCTGCGAGTACCGGGTTAGTGCACCCTCACTTTCCTGTTTAATATACTATGTATACCAGATATTCACCAACCACAAAATCTTAAAATATATTCGAGAAAGGAGGATCAACATACACGATACAATTTTAAAGTCCACTTTCCGCAAGACGAAAAATAATTTGCGTGACTGTTTGAATTGGATATACCAGAATAACTTACACATATCGTCACTAGACACGAATAAAGGCGCGAGTTTAAAAGTTTACCGCGAAAAAAGACATAAAAAAACTTCAACGAAGATACCCGTCTATACCTAGTCGACGGCGAAGAAAGACGCGTAAACTTATTTTCGCGGTCAACTATGTTTACTATCTTAGCGGGTGTATTAGTATGTACATTACCGAAAGAGTTTTTGGAAATAATTCTGAAGTGACAGTCCTTGGCTAGGTATAAATCTATGTTTACGCGTCTTTCTTAGCCGTCGACTAGGTATGTCTTCGCAGAAGTTTTTTTTATGTGTCTTTTTTAGCGTCTGCAAGCGGTCATCTGTCTTGGAGCAAGCGGTTCGCTATATAAACGTCTACTTGGTTAAGAAACCCAAACCGTCCTCCTATCAATGCGTGGTGCGCTGGGTTTCGGACGCGCCAGGTAAAAATAGGTTCCAATGCAAAATTATAACAAAGACTCGGATGAGACGGGAAGGCAAGCGTTTAAGGGACTATGATTTGAACGCAGGCATCTGGAATGCCCAGCCCCTTAATGGCGAAGGTGCCTCTGTCCGGCTGTTTGATGTCCTCGTAAGGACAAAAGCTGACATCACCGCCATCCAAGAGAGGCATTGGACAGAATAAGGCAAAAAATGTCTGGAGCCTCGCGACGTCTACTACAGCTGCCATGTAAAGTAGCGCAATTTCGGGGTTGATTTGTAGTGGGAGAGAGGCTAGCGTTCGGCGATTATAATACGAGGGTTGGTAAGGAAGGAATATTTTCGAATAAATCAGCCCTCATGATGAAACGTCCAATAATGGACTGAGGCTGATCGTCTTCTCGAGGTTCAAAACATATGCAGTACTGGTTAAAGCATAAAAAGATCCATGAGGCTATGTAATGGACGGAAGGCAAGCTTCCAGTGTTTTAGACGTACGTACACTCTGAGGGCAAAACATCGACTCGGACTACTGAGGTACGAGTTTAACCCCGTGTAGTAGCCAGGCCGAAGTTGGGCTACTGTGATCGG